CAATACAGGTTTGTGTGATAAGGAGAAAACAAACTCCCACCACAACCTGCATTGTTCAACAACAACATTGCCAGTTCAAAGTAGAAATATATTGAGTGACATGCACATATAAGTGTTGAGTGACATATATTTACAAGGAGTGAATATTTTAGAAAATAGAGAAGTCATTTATATAAGTCGCAAAGACAAATTTCCGCAAAGCAACGGTCTTGCCATCATACCAAGAGCTAACAACCAATCAATTTATCTGAATTGATTTGACCTATTCGACTTTTTGTTCGGTTCTGGAATGTTGATGTTTACACATCAAATATATCTGGTGTCTATTCTCCCCTGACCTCTTTCATCATCAATCAATTCGGTGGAGGCAGGAGAGGGGGGGAGGGGGTTAAAATACTAATATCCCAATACCCGTATACCATAATATGCATAAATTGCTGAATTGAATGCAAATACACTGATATTAATCACACTCAACGTTCACTTTTATCATCATAAATAAGACACAGAAGTTAGGATAAATATATGTGAAATTACACTATAGACAAGGTACAGATGTGAAGACAATGACTAAAACGGGTAGGGACGCACTAATTAATCAGGTATTTTGAGTGACCCATCCCACTAAAACCTCAGTCTTCCCCCACCCCATGGCTTCTGTTTCAAATTTACTCAGACAAGATCACGTAACCTAACGCGCATCAAATTGGTTTTAAACTTTACAAGAGGGATGGTGTTAATGAACTAACAATTTGTTTATACTACTGTAAAACTCATTAACTACCAGAATTACACTTCTTCCTTCAGAAATGACAATGTCAAGGTTACCAGTGGACAATATGGTATGGTACAGTACTGTGTACGTTTCAGCTGTGCATACATACCAATACGGATAACTTAATTAAATAATTATTAACAACTATACTAATAATAAACACTGATGTAAATTACACAAATATAACTGAAATGGATTAAGAAATATACCATTAAAGTACAGAAGAAATAAACATTGATAATATCAATATCTTTTAAGCAATAAACATTTACATTTTTTTGACGGGGTCATCTAGTTTAACTTTGCCGGTATTTTACGTCATTGACAGGAAATGTGCTGGGGGAACCAAAGGAAGATGCACGGTTCAGGTTACATGTCTATAGCTGAACAACTCAACTCCTTTGACGTCAATGTAACCACACCGTAGTACCACACCGTAGTACCGTACTTTATGAGAAGCACGACATATCAGATGGACAGAAGTCTACGAGGAATTAATTCTCGTACAACAAAAAATCACAGTCTGTCTCTTGAGTAAAGTAACAGTTAACAACACACATTTTGTCAGTTGTGAAAAAGACATTACCGAAATATACAAGTGTTGAATACCACATGTACCAAAGCCCAAGGGTGTTGACAAAGAGGGAACAAGACGATAACACATAGTTTGAATTAAGTGCATGCAATTTATAGAAGAAAAAAAAAAAACATCTGCTAACTTACTAAGACTGGCAGGAATCACAATGAGTTAGAAGGTCCCCAGAACTTTATTTAAACCAGACAAAATCTGAGAGAATATGATATTTGGTAGACTAGAACAGCCTAACTGACGCTTATGCTATCTACAACAGGATCACTCGTGCACTGTATTCACAGTGTCATTTCACTGCTGCATTTCTGTCATTTTTTTCATGACGTGGTTAATGAAATTCCAATATTTAAACAGTTAGCAGACTGTCCTAGTTCTCTAACCCCCCCCCCCCACTTGCAGACAGAATGCAACAACCGATCCAGGGTCAATGGCCTTTTGCATGTAACAGTACACCCAGGCAAGGTAATCTCATTTCATCCAGAGAAGGAAGGCAAAAAAAAAAAGGCTGAGGTTAATGATATGTAACTTGAAACAGTAGACTATTTGAATAATATGAATTTCACAATGACTGGTGGACAAATAATCCATTTCACAGACTGTTTATTTTGATGCACTTCAAAATGCTACAGTTATGGCCATGGCTTATTTTCAGTATTTAGAATAAACAGTCTGAGGTTTATAATAATAACTGTGTAGAGAGGCTGTCATCATCTCGGATATACCCATTAAATCTAAAATTTGACTTACAAATACAATAAACGATATTTAGGGGCCCCTATAAAGTTTAAAACAAACATATAAACATGAACTTTGTATAAATGAAACAAAGTAGCGATGTATTTCGAAATACATGTACCAGAATGGTGGAAACAAACGTAGCTGTGTTGGTTTCTCATCGTCATGCCATTGACCTATGAAGCTACCCTTTCTCAGACTGCACTATGCAAACAGCGCTATAAAGCCGGGTGGTGTATTTCAACAGACCACACGCTAAGCTTGAAGCCATGTGGAGGGAATTTCATGCCTGGGCTATCCATCGAGTCCGTCTGTCTGGGTCTGCTTAGCTCCTGTACACATTCTCGCCTCTTGTAGAAGAGTTCACGTCATGAAAAAAAATTATAAGGATACAACTATATGCTCGTATTAGAGATTATTTTTCTGCATTAATTGGGACACCTGATTTTTATAATTCAACCATGGCTGGAAAATATAAAAACACAACTAGCCACATCTTATCCAAGTCTTGATTCTTCTAATTTTCTTTTAAAAATTAACTGTCATTGTATATTTAATTCTAAAATCATGTTACCACCAACTTATTAATTTAACCTCTCAACAAATACAAATTTAGGGACCTCTAATACAGACCATAGTCCAATTATTGGAATGATCATAGAAAGTGTAAATTCATTGATTCAGCTTTGATTAGAGATGACATAACGAGCCGTGACACTGAGTTGAGATAAGAGGTAAAGTTGTTCTTAGCCCCCAATCCTCAATATGTAGCTAAGATGCTAATTTTTTCATTCTCTTAATATTGAGTTTCACCAAATGGGGAAAAAAGCGGCTGTGATGCATTCTGAGTATATTACAAACTATATTGCCACCTGCCAGCACAGAAAAGCTTGGCAATGAATGACAGAGCATGGTGGGGGTCACGGTGAGGTCACGCTTCACAATTTTTTTATAGAGAATTTTAACTTCCTTTCCCATGGCACAACTCCCAAATGTACACGTCATGCAGAGAGACAAGGGAGGAATGATACCACATCCATGTTAATTTCTTCCAGCTGTGCACGCCCTTGTTAATTTCACATGAAACTAATACAAAAGGATGAAGTACCTCACCTTGTGATTCATAATTTTACCATACGTTTCCACAAGCGATTCCGCATAGAATGGTGTTTCACCAAATAGCATCTCGTACATGCAGACGCCCAACGACCACCAGTCACACTCTGCACCATATCGGCCTTTGCCGTCTTCCATTGCCTGTAACAGATGAGGAAGAAAAAATAAGTAGAAATGCGCAAATTACGAAGCTGAACACACATACTTTAAACATGCAACAATTAACTATTGTCGAAAAAGTTTGCAGCACTGAAACCACTCAAGCATTTGAGAATTGTAATACTGGTACCTATATATAGGATTGAAACATGTTACTTACCCGTAGAATTTCAGGTGAAATATAATCTGGTGTTCCTACTGCTACATTAGACTGCACCTAAAAAATGAGATACCAACAGTTAAAATTTTTCCTAAAATAACGTCACCATATTAATCTTGCAGAAATGCAACAAAAAGTGCCAATCAGTGCAGTATATTAACATAAAACGGCAAATCTTACCGTTCCGTCCTCTTGAAGTTTCAGACAAGATCCGAAGTCCGCCAAGCGGACATGCCCATACTGATCCAGCAGTACGTTGTCTGGCTTCACGTCGCGGTGCACATATCGCAACTGGTGTACCGAGTCAATCGCCAAGATCATCTCGGCAACGTAAAACCTGGCCATGTCCTCTGGCAGTCTGTCTTCAAATTTACTAAGCAAGGTGAGTAAGTCGCCACCATTGTAATAGTCCATTACCAGATACTACAGAGGGTAAAAATTACACAAGGGTGAAAATAAGAAGCTAAGACCAATCTTAATGTGGCCACTTTCATGACAATAATTATAGTAAGAGTTAATGAGGTGTATATTTTGGATTATACACAATAAATCGAGGGTCATCAAAAAAAACAATTTATGGTTCGAAATAGTCACCATTTTAATAATATTAGAATTACAATTTTCATTCGTGTTCACATTCAGTTTAAGACCTTTTTAAACTAAAGAATACTGTCATGAAACTTTATGAAATCATCTAAGGATTGTAGTTTCTTAATTAGTAATAATTACAATATTCTGAGAAATTACTGCATACCTTTAATAAAAGGTTATTTATTTCATATACTGTTTATTCAAATAAAGGATGCCCATGCTGCATGCAGCATGTAAAATATTGATTCTCAATGTGTTTTTTCGCTCAACTCACATTAAATGGGATCCCATCTTAAAATGAAATAGCTGCTCATTCACAGATTAGGATCTCAATATAATATTTACATTTAGGAATTTATAAAAAAAAAAAAAAAGAAAAAGAAAAAAAAAAAATCATCCATGTTTTAGACATCACTTTTCTACACATATACCAAATTTAATGATATAAAATCATGAAATTCTTCTTTCTTTCTTTTTTAAGTGATTAAAATTCCTCACACAAGGCCAACTAAAAATATCTAACCCAGCAAACAAAAATACCAGGCAGCATTCCCACTTCGGTGGAGGTAGAAAAAAAGTATTTATAACCACAGACTATGCCCAATTGCTGGCCAGAGTTGTAAAACTGTCAATGAATTAAGAATCAGAACTTTCTGTTTGTAAACTATAATCTCTCAACAGTATTTTATGATTTTTATTATGCATTGCTGGGAGAGAAAAAATATACATCGGATTATTACATACTGTAAATATCAATTGTCACGTCACTTTGCAGTTGAAAGAAATATGCATTGTATTATCAATTTCATTTATTTTGTACATCTACGCAATGAAATATACATGTACATGTGTACATAAACTGTACGTTGTAAATCACAAATCATAAATCCGTTGCTAGTTAATAGAATTTCTCACATTAAGCATATATCGAAGGAGAGGGGGTCTTATAAGTCGTCCTCACTCATTTATTCCTTCAATTCATTTATTTTTAGAATAATTAAATTAATTACTGGAAGACGCATCTTGCCAGGAAATTTACGATAAGAAATTTATCAACCGCAACTGTAAATTTTAAATGTGATTTACTTGTATCTTAACTATAAACCTAGATGATACGAGCACAAGTTTTTACCAGTAGGGCTAGCTTGCTAGACTGATTAAATTTCAATAGTTTGAGGAAGTCGGCTGATTAAATTTTGTCTCTGCACAACTGCATGAATTCTATCTAACTATCTAATTTTATCAGCATATTGTAAATGAAATAACTACTATTTGCAAATGGCAGTCGTCAATGAGAATATTTCCTGTTAGATTTATTATCATTCCAGAATAAAGCTCTATGAATCTCGACAGGAGATCATTTACTTGGTATGAGTCATAGGAAAAAAATCCTCCATTAGCACGTAAAAAAAATTATTAACATTGCAAAAAGAGATTATTCCAATTAACAGATGCTCATGACATTTTTGAATACTGTAGCGTTACTGGTCTACTACCAGCTCTACTTGTACGCGAGACACCTCGATTGAAACCACTCAGGGATCCAGGAAAACTACATGACGTGTGCCATTATGATTCCACATGGAGACAGGTGGTCTATTGTTAACTTACCAAAAATTCATCGTCCTGAAAGGCATAGTGAAGATTGGTTATCCATCTACTGTCTCCGTACACTAACACGTCTCGTTCTTCTTGAAAACATGCAGTCTGTTTAAAGAAAGAAAAAATAAAATGAAAGATCAGACATTGTTTTTGTTTTTAATATTCACGGATGATTGAAAATAACACACAACCGAGTAATTTGATGCTGTCTTTGTTTTGTTTTTACTCATGAGAAAAGTACTTTCAACTTTTAAATGTTCGCAGCCCGAAAGCTTCACAATATGAAAGCAATTTTCAATGACCACAATGACCCAGTGACATTGCCACTACCATTAACTACAAAATATTCTTAAAGTCCCCGGAGAAAAAATTTTTACAGACATTTATCTAACACAAAATAATTTTAATTCAAGAGATATACAGTAAAACCTAAAAGCAATCTGGTATCAAATATGTGGGTTTTCACAACTACGCAATGCCTGGGGGGGAAAAGGGAAAAAAAACAGAATTGCAACAGTGTTCAAAACTCAACAAGATATATAATCAACATTCCACTCCACCAGCAAAGTAGAGCACAAAAAAACAACTGTCCATTTCATGGGTAATAACAAGGCACTGTATTTTATATTCTCACAACATCAAGATCTTAAAAAAAAAATTAGTAGCGTAAACGGCTACTCCGCAGGTTGTGAGAGTTCACTCGATCCTGAGAAAAGGGATAAACATGCATTCTTGCTGCTAGGGCAAGTGTATTGTCTCAAAGAAAGGCCTTTGAATTCAAATTTGCGAAAATGTTAGTTATTTCATCGTGAGAGAACGCTGAGATGACGTTTCTGCTTAAAACATGTTAATGTCAATTGAAGGTCAACCTAATTTTAGGATTCATGGCTACCTTGACATTTCATTTAAATATGATAAAAACCTAACAACAGCATCTCTCACATTTGTTATAATTTCATTTCCTCAAGACACCTCAAGCTTTGTTGCTGGCAAGTGAAATAAAACAGGAATCTAATAAACCATAGGCAACCTTGCGCATAATTTAAAGCCTCATGTGCACACGACTGATCAATATATAATCAATTCCCCAAACTCTATTACCAGTACATTTGGTCAAGGTCATGACGATTTCTATTTCAGTAACACAGTCAAGTACGCTTTAAGACACAAATCTAACGCTAAAAAGATTTGACGAGTATGTTTTTTGTTTTTTTCTGTTCCACACACAAAGTAGGGTGGTTACCGATTCTCTCATTGCTTTTCTTTCTTTTTTTTTGACCTGCAGATGGGAGGGTAAATACTACTGTATTGTATTGTTGTGTACGAGTTTTTTTTTTTTTTTAACAGTGAAAAATTCTCTACATGCTTTAGTCTTTAGCTATGGTTTGGTGACGCTGAGTGGGCTGTCCACTAATATAACTTGTAACTCAATCACTTGTAGCATTCATGTTACTCCTATTTGCTAGTCCACAACTGCACGGTGATAATAAAGCCAAATGAAATCAGTGGGCTTGTAACACTCAACGCTGTATTGCGAGCTGAGAGGGTGCAATCACGCAGCTTGGGTTTCTCTTACTGCATTCTCATTTCGAACAAATATTTTTAACGTTTCAAAAGAATCACGTTAATAATATTTAAACAGAAAATACTGAAACACATTGAGATATGGATTTGGACATGCTTTGGCTCAGAATCAAAACGTACTTGAGGTGTAATTTCTTTTATTCAAGACAGAAAGAAAAGAAAAACAAACGTGGCATGACCTTTTAAAAATTGACATCATGGGTGAAAATATTTAAATGATTACCCCGGTATGCAAAGTTACGGTAAACAGTGGGCTTTTAAAGATATCATTTTTTTCATAGCTAATTTACTTAATCAGTAATTTAACTAATTTATGATCCAAATAATTTATAATATAACAGAAAATAATTAACACTGTAATATCATTGAAGAAAGTTGAAAAATAGTTATCAAAAACGAAGAAAATGCTAAATTCGCTACAGTTTAGTTTAATTTCAAATGAGTTTGAAAAATCAATGCAGTTAACATGTAGGTAGGTCCTAAAAACAATATGCAGCCGGCTCACTCACTCATGCTCACCTCAAATCGACACCCCCCCCCCCAACTGTTGACATAAACAGCATAATGCTCATACAGAGTGAAAAGTTTTTGTTATCTGAGACAGCGGGAGGGTTAAACTGAACTTGTGAACCCTTTGCATTTAGAGTGGGTTTGAAGCTATTTTAATCCGGAGCTAAGTAATGTGAAAACACCTGTTTGTAAGGTGGTGGGGGGTGCTGCACCTATTAAAGCTATCCTTGATAAAAAGGTCAACCAATATAAAAGCAAGGTCATCAACTGCGAGTCACCTCTTTCAAATTCAGAGTAGCACAGCCCTTCCATACCAAAGGTTGACAAACATTTTACAGAAATACCGGTAGCATCACTATGAAAAACGATTCTAATTTACATCAGTACCTGTTCATAAAATCTTTATAAAAACGTTTAATTCCCTGTATTATTTATTCCCACAATCTTTTTCAGAGGAGATATATACCAACAATTTTTATTTACATTCAACTTTCAAGGGAGATCTGAATATTAAATAAATGGGGACGGTCATTCTTTTTTTACAATGGTATTTGTACAATGACTCAATTTCAATTTCTGTGACCCATTGTGAGGGTTCACTGTTCAAGTGCCAATTATTTGGATTCAGCCTTGCTTCTTATATCAAATCTCAAACACATGCCAGAGTTAATGAGCGTGTAACTGCTTCACATTTTATTTTTCGCCTCCAACGCCCCTTTTCATGAGTCACCCATTAACAAAATTAATATGTTTTTAAATAGGAAGACATTTGAACTGCGAGAAGATGTCAATATGAATTACATGCAATTTGTCCGTATCAACATTATGCAAGGCAAATTTGTATGTTTTCAGAAAAAATAACCATACACTGAAAGTTATTTAGGTTTTACAAGATATCATGGAATATCAATTAAAATTTGAAAGAATACGAATATGCAAACATACAGGACATCCACAAAGCAGATGTTTCATTTTGAAATGTAATACACCCTTTGATGCACATGCTGTGTGGAGGGAAGCATGCTGTTTCCTTTCTGATTCACTGAATGGTGTTCATAGTCAGCTGCAAGTCACTTCAACTGGACTGCCGACATGTGACAGACATGCAATGGTAGCTTTTAATCTGCGTGCAATGTGTGTCAGAAATGAGACACTCTTTAGATGACACCAGAATATGTGCCAGTATATATATGAAAAGACACTCCCGTCAAGGCTGTACATTATTAAAAACAGGATTGGCATAAAATTGTCATTGCTACAGTTGCTACATGGAAAGACGATAGCTACAGCATTTAGACAGACAGGAGATGGATACCTAATTAGATGCGAAAGTAGGTCAAGCCATAATGGGCCATTCAGGAAAAAGTTTTGTAGGTTGATATCTAGAACACTGATGGAAAGTGAAGAACCACGCTGGATCTGCGACAATGACAACAGGAGATAGCAAGGAACCCATTTTGAGGATAATTAAAAAAAAAAAAACGAAAAATAAGGTGATAAGGTGACATGAAGAAGAAGAAATAACTTTGGTGACTTTCTTACCTCTGCTCTTTTCAACATTTCCCATTTATTCAATATTTTCATAGCATATACATTATCTGTGGTTTTCAATTTCACTACTGCTACCTGCAAAGCACAAATAAACATTGCGTAATCAACAATAATCTAAGCTAGGAAGTGAGGGAGTTCACAATAAATCTTCACTGCATTAAATAAACAACAGTTCATCTCTGTTCCAACTATAAAAACTGGTGACTACAGAGCTGTAATTAACTGAATACATCTCGGGAGAGAATACACAAGTTTCCTTTCCACATACATATTATCAGTTGACATCGCCACCTCTGTGCGAACACTACGTCATCACATTAGGGAATAAAGCTCACTTCATTGAGGACGAAGAAAACAAAACTCAAACAAATGGGTCCTTTCATACCCAGACCAAGGGCTTAGTTTTGTATTCTCACTCAAACATATGTTTGTGGAAGTGAAGCCGTCACAGCTACGGTTAACACCAAGTAAGGGGCTCCTTCAGCGTGGGGAGATTTACCTACATATAAAGGTAGTCAAACATAAGTGTTATGATTTTTTTTTCAATCCATACAAGTCAAGTATACTAACAGCTGTGTATTCCACATAAAAAAAAAAATCAAAGCCTTAGAATGACGAAAACTGAATGGGAAGAGCCTCTGGGGGAATAGAAGGGTTTTTCAACACCTGAAAAAGCCTAATCCGCAACAGTAAATCCAGGGCTTAGTTTTGATGCAGAAAGCGATTCTTTTTATTTCCACAGGATGAGCTGAAAAATGATGAATGGTTTTGCGGTGGGCAATGGCTAGCACCTTTCATTGTTACCATGCATGTAAGACACTATCAAAAAACTCCATTTATCAACTGTACTGAGTCACTATGAAACGTAAGCCGAGAGAGGCCTGCAAGCCCCCCAAAACTTTCTCATTGGATAAGAGCCCGTTGCAAGTAATGGACACCCTTTGTAATGTGTACTTCAGATGAACTTACCTCTCCAAATGCCCCTCTTCCAATCACTTTTAAAGTTTCAAAATCATCCCTATGAAGTCTATTATATTTTACTTTATGTACAAGAGGTCTGGCTGCAAGAGAAGAAACAATCATGATAAGACAAGAGCGGGAAGAAGAAAAAAAGATTCTCAACAAAAAGCTATTAATGATACTGACATATCAAGACAGAAGTTTCCTATTTGTGAGCACCAACTCAGTACTTAAAGCTCTATACAGGTTTAATACTGTAACACATGCATTGACAAGGACACACACACATGAAGGCCTTGCCATTAGACTTACAACTTCCCTACCTGGTGCCACATGGCTCACTGAGGTTGTAAACAATCCAGATGAAGCTGGAGCTACATTTAAACCATGATTCCATGTATTTGTGTCTTGACAAAACACAAATTTGCGGATTTCGCACTTGTTTATTGAACTTGAACCAATTTTAAGATTTAGGAGGAGCATGTCATTGTAATCCCACATAAATTGGTTTGGATTTGGGACATTATTTTGTCATTGTACAGCTGTAGCTGAAACTATAGTACCGCAATATGGTTGAGTACAAATAAAAATTACCAATGTAACTATATTATTTACTCTAGCGCATGCACTGTGGTCAAAAAGTCATATTTTAAAATAATCTACTATTAATACAGTAACTACAAATACTGGCTTATGAGCACTTCTCTTGGAGATGTGCTTCTAATAAGTTTGACAAGTGTCCCCGACCCTACAATCGACATGAACGGACTAAGCTGAGGTCAAAGGGAAACAATTCAGGACAATAATTTACAACTGCACCACCAAATTACAGTGCTGTCATCAAAAGATTGGGCTATTCAGTGCTATATGATAAATGATTTTAAAATGAGTACATCATGCTGGACACTGATACTCATGAAAACACCCCAACATTTCTAATCAATTCCATTCATACATTCCATGCTTTGAAATTAATAACAGCTGATAGCCTTGTTTTGTTTTACTGATATCGGTCTGCAGCTAACTATACAAATTGATAACATGTTCCAGACTACCGACTGAACATGTTTTGATTTCTCCCCAAACACGACTGCAAAGGGAGAGCTCCAGCAATGTATACAAGGACTAGACAATATAAAGGAATGAACAGTGAGTTTCTCATAAATTAGGCTACATTTTAGGAGGGTCACGAAAGGTCACAAGCCCATCCCCTCCTATAGTGCACTCTCAGAATCTGAGCTGTGTAACTGAACCAATCAAGTGCACACAACAAGAAAACTGCCACCGACAAAAGGTATTTAAGAGCCACTAATAGAACAATTCAGAAGTAAACAATAACACGGGCAGGCATATATTTATTTCAAACTAAACATTTAGGAGCATTTAGGAGCAAGGATCATATCATTTTTTTGGCCAGCCACGAACCCTCACTGTGTGTAGTATTTCCACAAACATTAGATACTTTAAACAATGTATAACAAATGTATAACCACCGCAGAATAGACTGTACACCTGCATTCAAACTTCCCTTGTATTATAATAATTATGTGACCTGCATGTTTTATGTAGATTTCCGGAGTAGGCAGACGTTACATCATAACGTCTGAATCTATTTCATAAGCACATGGAAATACAGAAGCCAGTGTTTATTCAAACGCAGTGTATTCATCCACTATACAACTTTTACAATCAGGTAGTTATATTTGCTCGTACACAAATTTTCACAATAACCGACGACTATTACGCTGAACAGAAAACATCTTAAATTTATTGCTGACAAATTCTTACGATGTTCAGAATATAAAATGGCAAATAAAATTCAAACTGATGCAATTACTTTTCTTGAAAACGATAAAAATGCATCTGGAGTGTTTAATATCACCAGTAGTAATAACACAGTAGTATAATAAAGTCTGAGTGACGGTGTGTGTTTCATTGAGACCGATATTAATTAAAGACCGAGAGGAAATGTACATATTGTATATATTGCGATGAAATTAACACCCAACTGTCTGACGTGCAATATTTGTAGTATTTAATATTTATTCTAGATGGATGCTGCATTGAAATGAAACATGCCTTATCGTGGAAGTCATCAGTATTATTTGTTCATGACCACTATTACTGATAACTCATATTGAGCCGATTGTACAACAAACAGTACCAGTGACTAAATATTAATACTGGTTACTAAAGATATATAGTTATTCAGTATCTACCAAACTGTCTTGATTTGTTGAGATCAACAGAGAGAGAGAGAGAGAGAGAGAGAAATAACAGACATCATACAATGTATGCTCTGGGAAAAACAGCAAAGGTTTTCCTGTGTAATAATGTCAAATTTTGCTTCTAAACATTTGCAAAAAGACCAAATATGGTCGGTAGAGGCAAGTTTCCATGAAATTTGAATACAGAGAATTAAAAATTTCACTCAGTTTTTAAGTCAAAGGAGTCACAATGACTTCCGGGAAATACACATCATACCCCCAAGTGGCCGAAAGTGATCATAATAAGAGGTGAAAATGTTATGACTAATACATGTTTACATTTGAAAATATTTATTACATCATAAAATGTGACAATTTTACCCACTTTATGAGCATACTTTAAATCAGATACACCAACACACAGAAACTATAGTATGGCTTTCCGCTAACCTTTCCCCAGTCGCCAAAAGGCAAGTTTCATTTTGCTTTGAATACAATAAATTGTGTCACTTTCACCACAGATGGCCAAGTGTCATTTAAAAACATGAATCATTCTGCAAAAAATCCAACATTACATCCACGGAAATGTGAAATTAAACATCAGAAATAATATAATGCTTTATAATAAAAAGCGTATACGGTATATTACAGTTCACAATTTTAATTTTCTACAAATCTGACAATTTCATTTTGTTTTTTCATTTCTCGCCATGTGCAAAGTGGCTAAAATAAGTTTTTACTTGGCTTAGAAAACAATGCAGTGTTTTAGTCACTGTGGATAAAACTATTGTATCATTAGTGAAAGCCCAGATAGCAAATAGTATTTAAACCCAATACAAAATGTAGGTACAAATTTGTTTTATATTCTTATTTTTTTTGTAGAACATATTTGGTAGGGGGGTGTGGGACAAAACATGGTTAGATTACCTTTTAAAACCTCTCTTATCGCCTGATGCTAATTCCTATAAGCCAAATAATATTTTTACTAATATAAACTTTTCTTGATTTTTCCAATTTTAATGGGTGTTACCAAATAGCTTTGGATTTGAATGAATCGCTAGGATCTGTCTGGTGATTATTTCATGAATATTTTATAAATTTCCATAAAACTAAGCTGTTCATGCTTTTATTAAGCAGGATATATAAATTAGTCAGAATGTATTTCAGAGCAGACACTACACTCCCATGAGAGTTTTTTTTTTTTTTGGCAAAGCGAAATGATACCTAATATGAACAGAAGAGTAACATCCCACAGTGAAAGAAATAATTCCATTGACTGACTACTTGAACTTAAAATGCATACCATAAATGGAGTGTGGGGCTACACTTGTCTATTATGTCAGTGGGTGAAATCAGCAAGCTGTGACATGGCAGGGGATGACTCATCAGTGGTGTACATTTCACTTTTCAATACTAATACTTTTCAGGGTTGACCTAGTTATTCAATGAGAGATCTTCGGTTGACCTGCGATGACATCATAGTTCAGTCTAATGTCAACAGTTGAATAATTAAGATCAAAGACACTTTTTTGGAGGTAGAGGGGGGCAATTCCTCAAAGGCACTTTTTTGGAGGTAGAGGGGGTTGTCAACAGAATATCAATGAAATGTATTATGTATCTGTACAAGGTACGAATGTCAGACTAAGGTTAATAATCATGTGTAATACTTTAGAGTAAATCTATTTTCACTGAAACCCATGAATCGGGTTGGTACAAGTCATTTACAATATTTTCACTGGATTGTATTTTTGCAGGATTTTTGTTATGCTGATTTATTCTTTTGATGATACTAAATTCATTGTAAAAGCTTTAATTATTCATTTGCTTTACATTTTGGCCAACTTAAAAATGCACTAAATAAATTAAAACTCAGTAAATATATGCAAATTATACACATACTGGTATTACCTCTATTAGATGAGTACGCTTACATAAATGACAGGAGTGTGTATTTGGTGAATAAATACAATTGTTGGTTTATGTGCACTTCTGATGGAGTAAATACGAAATACAGATTTTCTTCAAAAAACTGACAGCTATTGAACAACAAATCCACAGACAAATAAACTCAACGACTTCTCATTGTATAGTATACCGCAATTTTCCATTTGATTAATGGTTTACCAAACATTGCCGGTTTGAAACAGCATGGAATATAAGAACCATAGGACAATAAAATTTCATGTGAAGACACTCAATATGTCTGATAGTAAAATTATGTTTCAAGAAAACCCTTTCTATCCGAGACACATTGAAATAGTGAAAGGAAGCTCCCATTTGTGCAGTTGGAAATTTATGGTCCTACCAACAAAGAACTGAATTAATTATGCAATAAATTCTATGCTACAACAGAATTACTGTATTCATTACAAGTAGATGTAGGGCAGTTTTGGAAATTGACATCCAATACATGAAATGAACATGTACCATACTAACTCTATTAAAAGCGCATACATGTATAAATAAAAAATCTCATTGGCTGCATAATAAATCATTAAAATTACTTATTCTGACGATAGAAAAATCTCTGTAATTTACGCAAGCAATTAGACTTACAGTATACAGTGTCTCTTGTTTGTTTCTTGGTGTTTTTCCTTTCAATAAAATACAATTATATGCCAGTGTATAAAACACTAAAAATCTAGTGTTTTATACACTGACAATACTAAACTGAAAAAATATCAGAAATGAGAAAAATTCTGATGCTTAATTTCTGAAAAAAATAAAATTATAATTAACTTTTTTGTAAAAAAATAAAATTAATTATTTCTATACAATTGCTCTATTAGAAATGCATCTCCAATAGAATCCTATAAAAACATAAACAGGCGTTAGTTCTATACTGAATCATTAAAATATTAGCTATTTTGACCTCAGGAACAACTATGTAATTTACATAATCACACATGCTACAAA